TAACACACTAGGCCTAATAAACCCCTTTTCAAGGAGTTCCTGAAGCCGCTTCTTCAACTCAGCCGATACTATACGGTATGGAGGAATAGAAATGGGCTGAGTGCCTGGCACCAAGTCAATACCATAGTCAATATCTCTATCGGGCAACATGCTAGGTAGGTCTGCATGAAACACCTCCAGAAAATCTCGCACCACCAGAACAGAATCAATAATAAGGGTCTCAGCACTAATATACCTCACAAAGGCCAAATAAGATAAACAACCTTTCTCAACCATTCGTTGGGCCTTCAAGTATGAAACCATTCTACTGGGAACATCGTCTAAAGAACCTCACCACTCAATCCGTGGCAACCCTGGTATCGCCAGTGTCACGGTCTTGGCGTGACAATCTAGAATAGTATGACATGGCAGCAATATCCTTGCAGGTGCGATTACACCAGCAATAGCCCAAGTGCAGCAATCTTCAAACTTCAAAACTTGTTCCATTAACCACCCGAAATCAACTCGAGGCCCTCGGGACCTCACCAAATATACCAACAAGTTTTATATCCCAATACGGACTTAGTTGAACCCTCAAATCACCCCAAACAACATCAAAAATACGGATTACACCCGGATTCAAGCCTAATGAACTTCTAAACTTCCAAATTCCACAAACGACGTCGAAACCTATCAAACCACGTCCGATTGACATCAAATTTTACACACACGTCATAAATAACACTATGAACATGCTCCAACTTCCAAAAATCCAATCTGACCTTGATATCAAAAATTTCACTCCTGGTCAAACTTTCCAAACTTTCAACATTTGGCATTTCAAGCTTTATTCTACTACGGACCTCCAAAACCCAATCCAGATGCGCTCCTAAGTCCAAAATCATCTAACGGAGCTAACGAAACCATCAAAATTCTAATCTGAGGCCGTTTACACATAAGTCAACATTCGGTAAACTTTTCCAACTTAAACTTCCAATTAAGAAACTAAGTATCTCAACTCTCTCCGAAATCACTCCGGACTCGAACCAACTAACCCGGTAATTTATAATACAGTTGTAGAAACAAAAGAAGAAGAAATGGAAAAATGGGGTTATAACTCTCGAAACAACCGACTGGGTCGTTACACATAGCTCCATCACACATATCCTTTATCGCCCTAACATAAGCTACCAACACACCTTTCACCTCCAGGCATCTCCAAAGAACGTGTTACAACCCATGTTTTTGTACCGGAAAGTACGTCATGAGTCAATTGATGTAAGCTCAAAAAGGATGAAATCATTCTACAAGGACAAGAAAGGTTTGCCGAAGTATTAAGCAAGCTAAGATGAATATGAGACTTGTTAATCATGATTTAAATAAGTTTAAATCCATTATATGACTATATATGATGTTTGTATATGAAGTATAAAGTTTGAGAAAAATCGGATTTAAGTTGCGGAAAAATCGACTAAGGATTTGCCTTGTAATGAAGTTTTTTGAGTAATAAATTTCATGTGCTATATGAGGTCTTTTTGGGACATATTATATACCAAATTGAAGGTCTTGGAATATAGTTTCCAACTCTTTTAACCGTTTGCTCATACGACACTCGTATAAAAAGTTATAAGCATTAGAAGACGAGCCAATTATAGGGTGCCAAGTAGCACCTTTTGACTTTTCAACAAAATGGAGAATTTCTCCTTTTATCTCGTCTCTTTCTGCATATTTCCAGAGATCACGACAAAATAAGAACCCTAACATCACCCTTAAGCTCTCTACAAGGGTTTCAAATAATACCATCATCCCGGGCACGAAATCAAGAAGCATTAACACTAGAACGATCCCCACAACGTAAGTATCGCTATATAGCCTCTCTTTTTCTTTGTAGTTTGAGTTTTGGAAGGTATTTTGAAGTTAATAAAAATGCCTAATATCTAGTATCAAGCTGTTAAACATCAAGGAAGATTGATTAATTTATTTCATAATAGTTAGAACTCACGGGACGGTGATCGGAAGCCGTGAGTTCGAGTTATTTGATTTATAATGGACTATTTTGTGGGTTGTTTTGTGTAGCTTTTGTGCTGTATATTTTGCTGCTATTTAATGGAGTTTTTGGAAGATAAATTGTGTGAAGAAACACCACCTAATGGCGAAATGATGGATTAGTCATTCTTTGTAATATTTTCGGGGCGTTGGACACTACTATAGTCGTCGTTTTTTGTATGAATTGATTGGGGTGTGTTGGGATGTTGTAATCTAAATATAACATCGATTTCGACTTGAATCCAATGCAGGAGGTAATTATATTGTGTTCCTACAGGTGCTTAAGGTTATCTTGGCATTGGTTAAGTTAAATGGATGAACTAGACATGAACTAGTGTATAAAGTTGCTAATTAAGAATAATTGGAGTTGTGGATCATTTTCTTTGTTATGGATATATGGTATAAGGCTGTAATTATTGATGAATGACTTCATTATCATGTTAATTATACTATTAAGTTAAAGTAAAAAGTCTATAAGGGATGATATGAGGTATACGAATTCCAATTGGAGCTTGTCGCTCGTCATAAAATAGTTATGACGTGTTGTTGTTTTATGGTGTCTTGTTATTGATAATTATGTATTGCTGGATTTCTCTGGTAATTGTTGTTGGTATATGGTATTGGAGGAGGCTCTTGTTTTAGGGGAGATGCTGCCCGAATTTATATAAACGAACTACAAGTTTAAGTTGCAGACTTAGCCTTTATTCAACACTGATTTTGAATCTCCTTATGCAATGGTAGATTGAGTTGAGTTGTTTGAAGAGTAGCTTGAGAGGTATTAAGGACTCACTATGGTTAAGGTATGTTAAGGCACTTCCCTCTTTCTTTTGGCATGATCTAAAGTGAAATGAATATGCTATTTCATAACGGATCTACTCCTAGAAACTAAGGTTGCCCATATTGTTCTTTCCTTATAAAGTTATTTTAAGCAAGTATGTATGATCCTTGAATCCTATAGAAGCTCATATTGATGTTATGATGTCCATAATGTTAATCGAAGGTGCAACGACCTTAAGTCACTCCAAAAGGTTTAGAACGTGATTCTATGAGTCTAGCATGCATTATGTATAGTATCTATTTTACTCTACCGAGCCGTGCTATAGTAGGCCGGGTACAATACCTATTGTGCAACCACTGATCAGTTGGATTTACCGAGCTCCACATGGCCGGGTACGATTCTACCGAGCCTTATGATGGCTGAGTACGTTTTTACCGAGTCCTTTTTGAGGTTGGGTACGATATGATGATGATGACGCCCACAGAGGCGAATGTTTTTAAAAGTTTATGTATATATATGTATTATGAATTTCATGTAAGTATCCCCCAAAGGCAAGCAGATGTTACATGTTATATCTCCTCTATCTCTCTTTACAATAATGTTCTTGTTTTTGCTTTCCTGCCTTACAAACTCGGTACTTTATTTGTACTGACGTTCCTTTTACCTGGGGATGCCGTGTTTCATGCCCGCAAGTCCCGATTGATAAGTTGATAGTTTTCCTAGTAGGCTATTAGCTCAGCGGAGGTGTTTGTGCACTCCACTTGCTTCGGAGTTGCCTATTTGGTCAATATGCTTTGGATATGTATTGATTGGTATGACGGGCCCTATCCTGACCTTTATGATTTTATGTACTCTTAGAGGCTTGTAGAAAGATGTCATGTATATGAAAATTGTATGGCCTTATCGGCCTATGTTCAGTGTATGAGTGATCACTTTGGTTTTATAGGCACATATGTCACATGTATAAGTTTTCATGTCATGTCAGGCCGTCCAATATTTAGTATTCCATTATATTTTATTTTTGTTATCTCATGATGACCTTTCTAGGCCATTTACCCATGATATTATGATATGACAGATATGTTACGTTGGTACTTGGTTGAGTAAGGTAATGGGTGCCCGTCGCGGCCTATCGGTTTGGGTCGTGACAGAACGTCCCTAGGGATCTTATCATACGCCTTCTATAAGTCAATAAACACCATATGCAAATTCATCTTCCTATCCCTTTACTGTTCCACTAACTTCCTAATAAGGTTGATAGCTTCTGTAGTAGAACGACCTGGCATGAATCCAAACTTTTTTTTGATATAGACACCGCCTCCTTACACTCCCTTCCACCACCCTCTCCCAAACTTTCATGGTATGACTTGGTAACTCGATACCCCTATAGTTATTACAATTATGAATATCATCTTTGTTCTTGTACATCAGAATCATCGTACTCCACCCCCACTCATATGTTATCCTCTTCGTCCTTAAAATAATATTAAACAACAAGTTAGCCACTCCAAGCCAACTCTACCCACATACCTCCAAAATTCTACTAGAATCTCGTCTGGTCTGGTTGCTTTGCCCCGACTCATCTTACACATCTCTCCCATGACCTCCTCAACCTTAATACACCTACAGTATATAAAGTCTTGGTGCCTCTCAGAGTGCCCCAATTCCCTAAGCATGATGTTTCTATCCCCCTCTTCATTCAGAAGTTTATGAAAGTAGAACTGCCACCTTTTCTTAATTTGGGCCTCGTCCATCAATACTTGACCTTCCTCATCTTTGATGCACCTCACTTGATCCAGGTTGCGAGCCTCCTTCTCTCTCGCTTTGGCCAGCCAAAATAACTTCTTATCCTCACCTTTGCCCCCTAGTTCCTTATACAACTGACCAAACGCAACAGTCTTAGCCTCCATGACCGCTAATTTTGCCTCCTTCCTAGCTTCCTTATATTTTTCTCTGTTCGCTCTCCTCTACTCCTCGTCGGTGCTCTCCACTAACATAAGGTAAGCCACTTTCTTTGCTTTCACTTTATCTTGGACCACCCCTAATCGCCTTGGTACTCGCCAGAGTAACCCTTCGAGACCCTTAACACCTCTCTCGTCGCCGTCCACATAATGCTAGCATCCCCACTACTATTCCAGGCTCCCATAGCCGTCAGCCACCCCTCCAACTCCTGCGCATTATCCTTAGTCAAAACTCTCTACCTGATCCTCGGTTGGCCCTGTACAAGCCTCTTCTTCCTCTTTATTAAGCTACCAACGTCCATCACCAGGAGCTTATGTTGAGTCGCGAGGTTCTCACTCGGGATTACCTTACAATCCTTACACAACCCCCTATCACACCTCTTGAGGATGCGATAGTCAATCTGAGTCGTAGCCACCATACTCCGAAAAGTAATCAAATGCTCATCCTTCTTCGAAAAAATAGAGTTCATGATCACCAACTCAAAAGCTCTAGAGAAATCCAACAATGAAGTACCTCCTCCGTTCCTATCCTCAAAGCCGAAGCCACTGTACACCTCGCCATAGCCACCAACAGACAATCCAATATGACCATTGATATCCCCTCCTATAAATAACTTCTCCGTAGGCGGAGTACCCTGCACCAAATCATCCAACGCCTCCTAGAAGCGCCTTATAGCCTCCTCGTCCATGCCCGCTTGCGGTGCATAAGCGCTAATGATATTCAGAGTGCCCCTCCAACTACTAACTTAATCACTATCAATCTGTCATTCACTCACCTAACCTCCACCACTGACTCTCTGAGCTCCCTATCCACCAAAATACACACTCCATTCTTGCCCTTCGCGCCTCCTGAGTACCACAATTTATACCCATATGCATTTCTCGCCTTCGATCCTACCCACCTAGTCTCATGCTCACAAGCTATATTGACCTTCTTCTTCTGGAGAATCTTCGTCAGCTCTATAGACTTACCCGTCAACGTCCCTATATTCCACAATCTAATTCTCAACCTACAGGCTTCCTTGTTCCCTTTACCCTCTTTGGGCCTTGTCCCGCCACCTGACCCTTGTCCTACCCCTCGCCCCGCCACCGCTCAGGTAGAGAGAGGGAGAGGGAGAGGGAGAATAAATATAGTAAGTTCTTTTGGAATTTGGCCATACAATGCTAATTCTTTTGGGTTGCCTTTGGCAAACATAATCTACGACAAAAAGTTTGCCAATTCATATTATATGTTGTCATTCGGTGCCAATTTACAGAAAAAGACAAAAGGTTGAAAAGGACCCGAAGTAAAACACCATGTTTGACTTCTGATTTTAAGCCCGAGCTGATCCAAGGCCCAATATCGGCCAAAATTTCAGTTTTCTAATAGAGCCCAAAGTTTCATTTACGCTCCAATATTTGGGAGACTGAATGCTTGATCCTTAACTGCCACCAAGCAAAGTTATTATCAAAAGGCAACACAATAGAAATGCTCTTATTATTTTCTTCCTTCATCCCAATATGCAAAATCAGATGGCCACGCCAAAAAGTTATAAGTATCATTATTGGTAAGATATTTTACTTATCAATGTTCAGAATGAAGCATCAAGTATACTATAAATCTCAAAACTGAGTTTTAAGGGTGCCAAATTCGACACAAAAAAAGAGTGTGATATATCCACCTTGGCCAAACTTTAAAGAGTTCAGTAACTGTATACGAGTTCAATAAATAATATAGAGAAATTTTCAAAAATCACTATGTTTTAGTGATTATTAGTTTGCTATAGCTATTATTTACTAAATTACTTCCTATAGCTATGTGTTCAGTAGTTATAGATTGTATTCGATGTATTTTTGCTATTGTATTCATGAATATAGTAGGAAAACTCGATAGAAAATCGGGGAGTCCAGCTAAGCAGAGAATGTATTCGACTGTATTCGTGAATACAGTAATAGAATTTGCGGAAAAAAAGGTCTTCAGCTGTTTAAAAATGGTAAGTGAATCAATTAAGGCGAAAGACTCCTAATACAACTCAACAAACTCAATTATAACACACAAAATTTATATTTCCAGTTATAAAAAAGATTTTCAAGAAAAAAACACCCCAAAAACAGAGCAATCTTTAGAGATTCAATCCATCCTTTCTTTTTTAGTGGTATCTTTACTAAAATATTTTTTAGTGGTATCTTTACAAATAGATTTATATATTGAAATTATATAATTACATTGAATACAGTTAAATACATAAAAATATATTGAATACATGAAGTATATCAGGTCATCTATAGTGCAAAAACATATGAATACATACTGCAGATACATTGTAATACATATATACATCTGAATATATAAATTATATTAATTAAAAAAATATATAAATACATTCATGGAATACAGCGAGACAGTGAATATAATGAAATTCATGAAATACAGTGAGATATATTGAAATACAATAAAAAAAATAAAGATGGTGAATACAATAAAATACATGGAATACAGCGAGATACATTAAAATACAATTAAAAAAAAGTAACAGACTCTTCAAGTTTCTCAGCCCCAAACTCCATTCCCAATCCACCGATATCCAGGTCGCCGCCATGTAGGGCATCGCCGCTGGTTAAATGAAGACAGTGGTTGAAGAAGCACCAATTTAAAGGATCAAACAGAAATTAGAGACAGAACTTCATCAGATCTCACAAGGCAAACATGAACAATCAATGCAAAATCTAAGAAAAATTTAGAATGTGGAACACAACTGTGTGAAAGAAATCGCTGGCCGGAGGAGGGGGTTAGGGGTGACACAATAAGGGGGAGTCGCCGGTCGGATCTGTCGTTGGCGGAACACAACCCCTGCTAGGGTTTCTAAAAGCAGGGAAGGAAAAAACCGGGGGAAAAAGAAGAAACAACAACAACAACAACAACAACAACAACAACAACAACAACAACGACCCAGTATAATCGCACACGTGGGGTCTGAGGAGGGTAATATGTACGCAGACCTTACCCCTACCCCGAAGGGTAGAGAGGCTGTTTTCAGGAGACCCTCGGCTCAAAAAAAGCAACAAGAGACGATATATTAGTACTATAAAAATGCATAATAAAATAACAGCAATATAAGAGATATGAAATACAAAATAAGAAATACGAAATATATGGCTGGTATAGTAAAAAACTAGCAGGTAAAGCCCTGCATCAATAGACGACCAATGACATTCTTAGTCTAACTCCTAACTGG